CATCCACTTCTCCCAATGGGTAAGGGTCCCATGGGGAGTCACCAAAGTCTGGCACATTATGTTGGGGCAGGAGCAAGCCCCTCCCCCTGCATTAAGGCTGAGCATGGCATCCCACCATAGGGAATGGGCTCAAGCACCAGGGATAGATCCTGGTCCTACAGCCAGGCTTCCTCTCCTTTAGCACCAAGCATACTTACTTCACTACAGTTTCCACATTGTCTGTGCAGTTAGTTCTCATGGGTGATATGTATATAGTTACAGTGAATGCATTCTTTGGGATCAGTGCCTCCATCTCTGCCTGCTGTCTCAGGAGTGACATCAGGGCAACACAGAAGTCACCCATTGAGAGTACTGACTGCTCAGGAGGAGGGAACCTGGGTTCTACTCTGGAATAGAGCATGATCAAGAAGGAAACTCACTGTCTGCTGTTGGGAGCAGTGAGACCCCAGATCCTGAATTTCTTGTAAAACAACTTGTTTTCCCCTGATCTGAGTGCCTACAGCTGCTCTGAGCAACCAAGACCTGCAGGAGTTCCTGATGGCAGGAGAGTGGTTTCTGGTGGGTTTGGCTGGGGCGTGGCTATCTCTATATAATCTGCCCCTGAACACAATAAAGGGGGCATTCTTGGGGCTATGGTATCAGTGTTAAAAGGTCTGCTTGTGTCGGTCCGTCTCTGCGTGTGTATTCTCAACCTCCAGTCCCCTTTCCCAAAGCTCGCAAACTGGGTAATAGGGCACAGAGCACAGACACGGGACGGGGGGCGCGGTGGGCATCGGTCTGCAGCCACAGAGTTGTCAAAAAGCTTGGTAGCTTCTTTCCTGACAGGGAGATTCTGATAAATCTATAGGTAAAATCTTTTCTCTCATTTCCCTTTCTGAGGGATCAGAAAGCTGGATGACAAGGACTCTGGGTATCTAGGGCATATCAATAAATAAACTAAGAATGTTAGAGAATCACTCATCTTTATTTTCTAAATGAGATATGATAGGAAATAGCAATTAGGGGGAAATTCCAAGAGAAGCTCCAACTTCTAAAATGGAGCCTCCATGTGTTTGCACTTGGCTCGGATGGGAGGAGAGAGAAGAAACCATCCCAGGATGCCTCCTGAGTCAAAGGCGATAATAGACAGGGGAGATGTTCCTCTGTGCTGTGAGTTCTGGAGGGGTTCCTGTCCTCTTGATGGAACAACAGCATTGCCTGCAAGATGAACTTCATTGGTTGTCTCTTCTCCAGATGCTTTCAATGTCTGTCTGCAGACGGTGCTTTTCCCAGTCCCTCTATGATCCTGTGAATGGGTTGTCTTTTCTTCACTTCAAATGTTGAAGCCCTCACTACAAAAGTGATGGTATTGGAAGTGGGATCTCCAGGAGGTGATTAGGACTAGAGGAGGTCCTGATGGTGGGGTGCCATGATGAAGAAAAAGACACAAAAGCTCTGGCTCCCTCTTTTACCAAATGAGGATATAAGATGTAGATTCCAAATTCAAGTCAGGAGTCAGTCCTTTCAGGGGAATCAACCTGGAACGTTCCTTGGATCTTAGACGTCCCCCACCTTCAAAACTGTGAGAAATAAATCCTATTAAGACACTCATTATAAAAGTATGTTTCGTTATAGCCGCTCAAGGCTTACTGTTACAAACCCAAGTTGAAGGAGAAAGTGGTTCATGTGGGCTATCACAGGAGAGCCAGTTCAATGACTAGACCCTCAGGGGTCATCCTTGGAAGCAATGACACCCAGCGTTGGGATGTAGGCCACAGCTGACCTGTGAACTCTTTGCCTCTTGTCTGTGTAAGGTGTGAGTTCATTATGACTAATTGCAAAGCTGTTGAATTCACATCGTGAGTCACACACAACACAAGCTGTTTATAGGTCATAGGTGGTATGACACTGGAGTTAGTTTGTCAAACGGCATTTATAATGTAAGAATCTATTTTTGATTTTTTTTTTTTTTTTTTTTTTGGTTTTTCGAGACAGGGTTTCTCTGTGGTTTTGGAGCCTGTCCTGGAACTAGCTCTTGTAGACCAGGCTGGTCTCGAACTCACAGAGATCCGCCTGCCTCTGCCTCCCGAGTGCTGGGATTAAAGGCGTGCGCCACCACCGCCCGGCTTAAGAATCTATTTTTAAAGAACCAGTTTATAATTTTAAGGTTTCTCAAACAATTTCCAAAAACTGAATAATTTAATAGTCAGTGAAGTAAGATTTGTATATTTATTTTTAATCCAATATAAAGATAGTAAGAGAATTCTACTGAGTGATTAGTTAAGAAATAAATCTTGTCAGAAGTTTTTGAGCAGTGATGGGAACTGTTTAGTTGCAATTAAGCCAGGAAGCAGACAGTATGGTGATTCTCTGTTTAAAGTGGGTATAGGTACTTACCAAGCAATCCTAGTGATTCAGGTTTGAGTACCAAAACATACACAAAATGGAAGGTGAAAGCTGGCTCCACAAAGTAGTCCTTTGACCTCCATGTTATTCCCTCTCCAGCACTAATAATGATTCTGATGCTTAAACCCAAGTGTCTTTACAAAGACACAAACCAAACATCAATTAAATAGCAAGAAATAAATATCAATGAAATAGTAAGAAGTAAATATCAATGAAATAGTAGAAAGTAAATATCAGTGAAATAGTAAGAATTTTCTAGAGAGGAATTTGAGGTGAAAGTAAATAGAATACACTGTTAACAATTCCCCTGTAATAACCAAAGAATCTAGTAATTCCCCTGTAATAACCAAACAAATTAGGAATTTGCTGCTTTTCTGCTTTCATTCACAATATAAAGACGAGTATTATCCTGTGACCCAACAGGTCTGTTTTCTTCTGGTGAATTCGTCTTTATGAAGAAATGTTCCTTAGCCGGGGAGTGGTGGCACAAGCCTTTAATCCCAGCATTTGAGAGTCAGAGGCCGATGGATCTCTGAGTTTGAGGCCAGTCCATTCTACAGAATAAATTCCAGGATACCATGCTACACCAAAATACCCAGATTAAAAAAAAAATAGGAAAAAGAAATTTCACTGAAGGACCTAAGACATGGAGAACATTAGACACTAAAAACAGGTCCACTATACAATAGTGACGAATGTGAGGGAAATCCCATGCTGACTTGGATGGCTTTGTTATACAAGCAACTTGGACAACTCTGATGGTAGGAATTGACATCTACATGAGCTGTTGTACCTTCCAGAATGTGAGAGGTTTTCTTACTGCCTTTCCTTGTAGGTGCCTCCCAGCTCATATACGTATACACACTCACACATTCCAATTTTTATAATCTTTTCTTATTTGTAGAGAGAAATAGACTGTGTAATAAAACTTGATACTCAAATATAATATTAATTACTCATAGCTTACTTTGTCTAACTTATAGATAGCAAATTTCAAACATATCAGAAGTTTATGGCAGAAGAAAATCTCCTATACTTATTTGGTTCTCATGCTTGAACATATGGATGAGGTAAAATATGCTAAAGAAATACAAAGATATATAGATATAGGCATTTATAATATAGATATATAGACATAGACTATATAAATATATGTATATAAGTATATGTGATATTGATATAAGATATAGATATAACCTTTCCAGATTATTTATGCAGTCTGTATTCTAGACCCTGCTCTCTATTTTCCCTATCTGTCCCTATTCTGGTTTGGCCATTCACCTTCTCTTTGATTATGTCATGGTTCTCTAGCCAAGATGTTTCTGGCATAGAGATTGCTCAGGTTTTTCTCAGAGAGGTCCATTTTGGGCCCCAGAGGACTAGCAGGGGATTGGCCGTGAAGTCGGTGAGAGTTACCTGAAGCACTAGAGAGCATAAGTTAAGTGTGTGTCCAGAGAGAAGGCTGACTATGTATAGGTCTGTTAAGACCCTGCCAAGGAAAAGGTTTCAATAAGCAGTTAACTATCTGAGTCTTGACAGCAAGTTGGAGAGTTTACTCCTCTCGCTGAGAGTCACTGAAGATTAAGTAACATGGCCGTCGCACAGCCCCATGTATTTAACTACTACCCCAAATTCTCGATTAGTTGTTCAGCATGTTACAGAACTAGCTATTCTCAATGTTGGGAATGTTTGTGTTCTGTGCCCAGAACCCAGCAGTTCACTGATCACTTTATATAGGTTTGTGCTTTCCACATCCCTACCTTTGTTACAATGAGAAGGCTTTTTCTTTTATCTATAAATATTAAAGACAAGCTAACTACCAGGCATCAGAAGTCATAATTTACATATATGACCATTATTTAGTAAATGGACATGGTCTGTGTAGGAAATGGTGGATGGATGGATGGATGGATGGATGGATGGATGGATGGATGTATGGAGTTCTATTCATTTTTCACACTGATCTATGTCATAAACAAGGACAGGAACAATTGTCCATCAAAGGCTCTAATGCAGAGAATCTAATGTAAGAAAAAACTGCTCCCAAAACTGTGGGCCATTTCATGGTTTAGTACTGTGTATGCAGTAGGAGTTCAAAAGCCCTCCATGTCCAACAAGCCATTACCTCTGAGCCTACAGTTGACTGATGAGCTTGCTTGAGACCAATTTCTTTATGCCCCTCACAGACACTCAGTCCCTGCTACTCACAGGAGGGGCTGATCAAGAAATTTCCTATAAGGAGAATCAAAAGGTCTTAAATGACAAATAAGCTGCTCACTAAAAATATAAAGTATTTATTAGACATTAGGGAAGGGACAACTTCAATTTTAAAAACAACACTGACAACTATGTATGTGTATCTTCCAGGCCTTCTAATTCTAAGAGATGGAATAGGACATACTTACAATAACAATGGAAATGGATGGTTGTCCATTTGTTGAACTAAGAGTGCAATGGGAGGCAAGGAAATAGGAAATTAACTTCTCAGAGAAGCTACATAGCTTGAAAGAGTCCTGGCTAAGTAACGTAGAAAGCATCAAAGAATCAAAACCAGGTTGTTTGTCTGCAAGAAAGTTTATTTGAGAAAAAGGGAATTGAGGCTGAGTACAAGGGCAATGGCTGATCATGAGGTCTCAGAAGACATGGTGATCTTGTCTCTCGTCTCAGCTGCAGCAGAGTAGTATCTTGCCGAAGCAGATTGCATGGACCCGTTCATAAATTTTGCATACCTTTCTACAGAAACATAATGGGCCCTTTCTTGAGGCTGAGGAAACAAAGAACAACAGGCATTAAGTATGGTAGCCAGGAGTGTGCAATAGTGCACAACACTATGAAGATGCATGATACATGGTACAGAGCAGGATTGTTTGCACTGGTGACATCACACCCAGCACCGTGACCAACTCCAAACACTGGGAAAAAATACATTTAACAAGTGTTGATCGCATGCATAACTTGACACCCATTTTGCAGTCCTTCAACTTTTAATGTCTCCTAACCCAACACACTCATACACTGGCATTTAGTTCCTAAATCTATTCTTTTAAGCAAAACAGATTTTTCTTTTAATATAAGGTTATCAGTTGGATAGACAAACTCAATATGTTCTGTATTTTAAAACTATTCAACAAATAAGGTTCATATCAAAACACTTAAGAAAAAGAAAATCATTTACACTCTTTTGAATCTCACTTTTACTTCTCCAAATAAGACAGTGAAGATCCTAGAGGACCAACAGAGAACCCGACCTGAATCACGCGGCCCTGGACAGGATTCCAGTCCCATCTTCCACCCTCTCTCAGGAGACTCCAACCACTATCACACTGGGCACCAGCACTCACCTCCATCTTGAAGAGCAGAGCCTTCTGGATCCCCAAAGGAGATGGACACATACTGGTCCTCTACCCCTGGCTGCTCATCAGTTTTAGTCTCCTCAGCTGCTTCTGGGAGAGGATCAGCCTGGGCCTGGAAGGCCAGCAGGGCAAGGAGAGAGAGGAGAACAAGTGTCTTCATGGCTGAGAGTCACCTGAAGGAAGGGTGAGCAGGAACCCAATGTGTAGGGAGTGAGGAGCCCACCTGCATTTATAGGGCTGTCATGAGAAGGTGCCGAGACAGCCCTGTAGACAGAGAGGGCACGCACTGATGGGAACTGGGAGAGACTGTGGCCTTCAAGATCCTTTGATGTTCCTGAGTGCTCACATCTGCCATCATGGTGTTGGTCTGTGTTCTCAGTGACATTCCTCCCTTCCAGCTGATAATGATTAAAGGTCTTTTTTATTTTTTTCTGTTCCTCATCTGCTTGAGTATTTACCTTTCTATGGTCAGGGAAGAAAAGAAGCAAACATTTTCCAAGCTAGTAAGCAGATAGAACAGGGGAGGTAGGGAGGAGGTCGTGTTCTGAAGTTGGAACCTGCTGTTTTTAGAAAATATGAACTCTGGACCAGACCTGAACACCTATGGGTTGCAGTCAGTTCTTTGAGTGTTTATGGGGTATTATCACTTTCATAAAAGAAGACTTCTTTGTGAATCCCTTCCTTGGGACCATTATGGAGAGAGTAAGATGGTCCTGGTGAATTGAGGTCAAGAAGAGACGAGTGACAGATTTGGTCAGAGTGAAGCTAGAGCAGGATCAAGTCTACATCATGAATTTTCATGAGTGGAGGCTGGATACCCACAGAACTTCTTGTGCTAAGCTTGTTTTAAGAGCTACTATATGCAAAGATCCTACATAGTCATCACACCATGTTTATAAGTTTTGCTTAATACATTACCAGAAAGTATGCAGTCGAGAAAGTGCAGATAGAAGAACATACGGGAACAAAACAAGCCGTTACCTCTTCAGAAATAGCACATTCCTATGCTGCTTCTTTCTCACACAAGGCTGTTGAAAACAAATTGTACCTATGTGAAACTGAGTTTTAGAGGATGCTGCTCATGAAGAATTCATGTATATATACATATATGTCACCTATCATATAAATATAGCCTATGATATTTATACCATAGGGTAGGAAGTGTATGACTTTTGTCATATTCATTATACTATTATTAATGACTCATTTCATTCCTATTTATTGTCTTGTCATTTTTTGCTAATTGAATATTGATACATGTAATCAGCATCATAGATTATTCAATGCCAAATTGATTTTGATATATCTTATGCTGAATATTTTATACATTAAATGAAAAAATATCAATGCATGTATCATATAACATACTCCTTAATATATTTTCCCCTAGCTTATTTGACATATAATTGATAAAAATGATGTGTAATGTATACTATGTGATGATTTGGTACATGTATAAACTGTAAACGGATCACTATAACCAGCACAATTTACACAACTATCATCTTTTTTTTTTAGAATGACAATNTTAGAATGACAATACAATTAATTAATTTATTTATTAATTTATTTATTATGTATACAATATTCCGTCTGTGTGTATGTCTGCTGGCCAGAAGAGGGCACCAGACCTCATTACAGATGGTTGTGAGCCACCATGTGGTTGTTGGGAATTGAACTCAGGACCTCTGGAAGAGCAGGCAATGCTTTTAACCACTGAGCCATCTCTCCAGCCCCAATTATCATCTCTTAAATAATCACTTCAAATGTCTTTCTTTTATTTTTTAAGATTAAAATATAATTACATCATGTTTTCTTTCCTTTCCTCCCTCCAAATCTTCCAATAATACCCCTCATTCTCTCTATCAAATTTATGGCTTCCATTTTTGTTCATTGTTATCACATACACATATATTCATAAATACATAAATATACCCTTTTCTGTGAGTGTGTGACTTGTATGATGTTTTCAGTGATGATCATTCAGTATTGGATAAGTAATTGGTGTGTTCTCCCTGGTGAAGACTATTTCTACCACTATGTATTTTTAGTTGTCTGTAGTTTTTGTGCAGGGCTGATGACTCCTGGTCTTTCTCCCATCCACTTCAGCATATCTATTGTTATTGTCCTTTCTCGTTTCATGCTTAGGAAATCATTTTGGAGAGACTTTAAGGGTGTAACTTCTGACATTGTTTGGAGACACAATATATATAGCAAACTTCCTGATCTTCTCTCTCTCCCAGTCTACCTGCCCTTGAGCCTTAGGTGAGCCAATTGTTTTGTAGATGTATAGATGCGACAGAACTCGAAATTTTCATTGGATGTGGTTTTCTCTAACAGTCTCCATGGTTGCTAAAGTTCTTTCCTTGATGAGGAGTAAGGCTCACAAATATCTGTGGGTCTAAAGACAGATATTTAGAGTGCAGTTAGGGATCGTACTGGCTTAGTAAAACGGTGGTCATATGTTTTCCTCTAAGATCCATGGCTTCTCTAGCCCTGGATAGTTGGCTAGGTTCTAGTACCAGACGTTATTTCTGTCTTGTTGAGAAGTCCTCAAGTGTGATTAATTACAGAGCTGTTTGTTATTGCAAAGGTGCCACTTGAGCACCCTGAGGGCTGTTGTTGTGTTTCGTAGATATCATAGCTGGGTAGGAGTGTTGGATGTTTCCCTCCTCTAGAGGTTTACATGGTACCAGAAGGCACCATGAAAGCTGGTCCCAAGGAGGAGACTTTCAGGCCAGTTCTATCTAGTCAGATACCTCGGAACCATGAGTCTGAAGCATAGGGTGTCTTCAGTAATACTTTCCACCTCTAGAGGGCAGCAGTAGATGGTGCTGTTTTAGGAGTCTCTTGGACAACAATGATCACCAACTCAAAAGAGGGCTTTTTATGCCTGGTGTTAAGAGTTTTTGTTAGATGGTTTTTTGCTCTTGGAGCAAGAATTGTGAGCCAAGAAGAGAAAAATTCATCAAACCTATATGCACATATTTATAGAGAGATTTATGTGTGTTATATTTTTTGTTTGCCTTCTTTTTGAGGATCCTTAACAGTATGATTGCTCATGCTGTCTAAAATGAACCAAATACAATCTCAAGTTTTGAAAGACAGATGTTTTCACAGGGGTCTTTGTTTTTTGTTTTGTTTTGTTTTGTTTTAAACGGCATTCTTTTAGGGAAATAGTTGGTGGTGTTAGGACAAAGCGCAGGGACAGGGTTTGATGATACGTGAAGATGCCATTGATGAGGAAAGGGGTGGCTTTCCCCTCAAACCCCATTGATGTCTCTCTGCTCTCACAGCTTCCAGCAATGGTTCTGAGTTCAGTTTCTGCTTGAGGAACAGCACGATGGTGAGGATATCTATCCATGACTCTTTAATGTTCTCTCTTCCTTGAACTCTATTCTAATTCTTCTGTCTTAGCTATAATTCTCTTTCAATCCATTTCAATTCTAGTTCTTTGCTATATTCTTTTTTTTTTCTTTGTCATTTTCCTATCTTTGCTTATTTCTGGGACACTTTTGCTTCTGTTTCCACTTCTGTCTGTTGTCACTTCTTCTCTTTTTTCTTAACTAGCTATAAAGACCCACAAAACTTTGTGGTCATAGGTAACCAGGCAGCCTACATAAACAGACAGGTGAAGCCTATGGCCCTTGATACATTAGCATTTTTTGTCAAATGTTAATAAGCTTCAATGTTAGAAAGCTGGTAAGTTTGATGCTTATCAGAGACACCAGTGAAGGTTTGTCTTCTTCTGTGCTGTGGGTAGATGGTTAATTATTTGTTTCCTGAGAGTAAGGCACAAGCAGTATGTCTCCTGGACTAAAGTCATCAATAAACTGGAGTGAAGGTGCGGTCAGGAGTTAGGAATCTTTTAATGCAAGGTTAGTTTTAGGTCATCACTTTTCTCATCTTTAAGTGAAGTAAACCAATGCATGCTTGTTTTTTCTATCTATGTGAGCTGCTACGAATTAACAGCTTTGTGCAGGTAGTAATCTTATGTTTTGGATATCTAGGAATGTCTTAAATGAAATTCTTTCGGCTGGAACCTAAATGTTGACCAAATGCCTGTCAAAAAAAGATAATGGAAAAAGGCAGAACTCTAAGTTTACATAGGAAAAAGCAGCAAAGACCTAGTAGTGGGAAGCAGGTTTTTTGGCCGTGTGACCGTCTTCACACAGAGCTCAAATCGTGCTGAATTGTGTAAACTAAATCCCAAATTTGTAATAGAAAGAGAGTCAGTTATATCAAAAAATATTACAGCAAGAAACATCCACTTTATTAATAAAGCAATAATGCTAGCATGCTTTGCTTCCTGGCCTAATCCTGCAAAACAGAGTCCCTGACTCTGGTGGGTTGACCTCATGAAAAAGATGGGCTGTAATAACTGTTAATGTTGCAGATTGTAGCACACAGCTGTCATTAATGTGGGGTCTGGGGAAGCTGCATCAATCAAAAGTTGTCAGAGCAACTAGAGTCAAAATCAGTAAAAATGCAGTGGAATTCTCCCTCATGCCATGTATTAAATTCAACACAAAGTAAACCAGAGTCTTTGAGCAGATGCCTGAATACTAAAGCCCAGAGAAGACAGGTGAGTGCTCGTCTTATGATTAGCAGCGAAGAAAAGAGACACGTGTTCATCATCAGAATCAGTGTGTTTAGCTGTGAAGGACTTTCACGTTCTGGAAAGTCAGTAAAGCAATCACAGCCCCTGCGGTGGGCATGTTTGCTCATGTGAGCCAGGGTCTTACTAGACAGCCCAGTCTGGCATGGGTATTGCTGTCTTCCTGCCTGCTTCACCCTGGTGCTGGAGTCACAAGCCTGTGCCACCAGGCCTGACCTCAGTTGTGCTTGAAGGAGACTTGTTTTGAGAAAACACTAGATACCTAGTTCACGAGGAGTCAGGACTGGAGCTTCTCCACTGGGTATAGAAACTGTCCCTCAAAGGCCATCCCTGACATTGCTGCAGAGTCAAGACATTTAGGGACTCTTTAGCCATTATTGCATGAGTACCTTTAAATCGCATGGATATATATTAATGGAACTGTGGGATGTATTTTGAGGATTAAAATGTTTCTGCCTGTTCTAAAAGCAATAGGTTGCAACAGAGAGCAATAACATGGCAGCTGATGAATATTTAAGCTGCTGGAGATCAGTAAACTTATCATTATCTTTTCATTGCTCATCAAATAACCGTTGTCAGCCATAAAATAGATAAAACATGTGGTAGAAGCAGAAATCCCAGATCAGAGGATCATCAAAGGGTTCATGGGGACAAGGGAGCTTTGTGTGGTTCCCATCCCCATTTCCATGCCTTCCCTTACACATATGCAAACCCTAAAATCTAATTTTTTGAAGAATCCCATTTTCTGTGATCCAACTTTTTTTTTAAATATAA